GGGCACAGAGGTCTGGGCCCCCAGGGCGCACCCCCTCCGGGCCAAAGCCCAACAGGCCCAGAGGCCCCGAACCCCAACAGGCAGCTGTCATTGACAACAAAGGCTTTTGTACAAAGTATTAGATAAATTTCAGTAAGTGTGTTCAATACTTTTTCCACTTTTTCCCTGTGCCATTCCACATTATTACAAGTAACATAGTTTCTGGACATTTATGGTTTGATTTCTTTGTATGTATGGATCACTTGGGTTGTTACCAATAACTGGTGAAAATTTCATGTCATTAGCACCTCTAGTAATATATTTGCTGAGAAAAATGTTGACGTGTTCAATACTTATTTTACCCGCTGTATGTTGCATCATGTTGCTTGTATTTGGTTTACATTGACTGTAGTTTTTAATTGTTTGTTCTTTACTTAATATTTCCCCCAAACTATTCATGTAATATGGTATAACTGATGTCAGTTCTTCAGATGTTCTAATGCAAAAATCAGACAAAAAAAGAGAAGGAATCACAAAATGAAATTTAATGAGCTGGCAGGGTGAAAGCACAGCAACCAAAAGAGAAGGGAGTTTAAAAAAGAACATTTCTAAACCCATATTGCATCATAAGATTTAGATAATGTGTGCGCAAATGGATTTGTTTGTGTTTTTGAGCTGTGTAAGACACAGATATATAAAACATATGTCCCATGGAAAGAATGAGATGTTTGACAACAGAGACAATCTGATGAGAAAACTTCTGATGTTAAAACAATCACAGGTGGAAAAATGGTCTGGATGTAAAATGTGTAAAATCAAACTGTTCTGTATATGTAGATAACAAAAATATTGACTGAACAGAGTTTAATACATAATATATTAGTACTAATAATGGTACTAATTTATGTTCATATTACCCCCCACCTTACTGACAGAGGATACTTTGARAAATATAGATATGTCTGTTATACTAACACACACTGGAAAGGCCTGGATCGGATTTGAAAGTTTCAGATTTGTCACATTCACACTGTCAGTTTTGGGTCACATTTGCCTGCATTGTGAACATAGCTTATAGTTATTGTGGTGGATGACCGTATGTTTTTTATAATAAATTAATTAGGAGCTGCCACAAATATACTGTCAAACTATTTAATGGCACAGATGGATGAAATGAGAAATATGAAACATATACAATATATAAAACATGTAATATTTTTGTAGATGTAGAATAGTCCTGATTTACATTATTTCAATAATTTTGTTTTTGAACAGTTCTTAAGTGGTACATGCTTAGAAAAGTTTGATAATCACAACAACATATATACACTCACCGGCCACTTTATTAGGTACACCACTCTAG